CTAAAAAAATGTAATAAAAAAATACACATCAGATCATTTTAAAAATCCGTGTTCCATTTATAACTCTAGAGGTGGATACTCGATCCTATTTGGCAACTACTAAATAAGGTTTTCACCTATTAGTTTACTTTTTGGTTTAATTTTTATCTGTTATTATGAAAGCAGGTCATCTATGTCTTGAAAAAGACCAAGTGGCAAAAAAAATCCCAGTAGAAAAGCGCTTCTATCTCTGACTTAGACGAGAACCTTAAAGCTCCCTTTCCACACTCAGGTGTTTCCTACATGTGACTGTCTTGCATGTGGGCACTGTCTGCAGGCTGTGTGAAACTTTACTTTTCTCCTTAGTGATCGTTCATGGTCACCAGGAGGGCCAGATGGAGGATAGGATGGCCGTTGGCCTTCCGAGAGCTGCTGCATTGGGTGCCAGCACATGGTGGTCTGTTGCCGGTCTGCCCACTTCCCAAAGACAAGCAAATGGACATTTCTGTGCCTTTGCTAACAAATAATACTAAAACATACTTTGTGTGCAGTCTACATGTGTGAAGATGGAATATATCACCCCCAAAAAGCAACACTAGATTCAAATGCTAGCAACACTATGGGCTCCCTGCCTCATGCAGTCTCCCCCACACTGCTGATGGTCCCATCAGCATACTTCAGATCCAGAGTCCGTCTTGGTAGCTCTTGCTTCTCACTGCTGTGGTTGGTGACAGCTGCAGCTGTTGGTGACAGCATGTCTTTTTAAAGATTTGTTTTATATATTTGTGTGTATGTGTGTATGGGCATATGTGAAATGTCTGGAAGAGGGCGTCAGATCCCCTGGAGCTGGAGTTACAGGTGTCTGTAAGCTGACCCACGTAGGTGCTGGGAACCAAACTCTAGTCTCTAGAAGAGCAGCAACTGATCTTATCTGCTGAGCCATCTCTCCAGCCCCTTCCTAATTTAAATTTTGTTTTCCCTTTTAGAATTGTCATTTTGGAAAAGGTTCACCTTCTAGCCAGGCCTAGTGGTGCACACCTGTCATTCTAGAACTCCATAGGCTGAGGCCAGATTAGGTGACACAGCAAGACTCTGTCTCAAGGAGGGGGAGTACATTTATGCTAGTCCCTCTCATTGATTTGTTCAACTGTTGGTCTCTTTTGATTGTGTGTGTGTGTTTGTGTGTGTGTATGCGTGAGTGCGTGCCTGTGTGTGTGTGTGTGTGTGTGTGTGAGAGAGAGAGAGAGAGAGAGAGAGAGAGAGTTGGGTAGAAGCAGGGCCTTCTGAAGTGCTGCTCTGATGAATCTGCAGCTGTTTCTACCCTTCTGATGCCCCCTTATGGTAACCCAAACTCTTACATATGTTTGATCTGCTTGGTTCTTTATGTTGTACCAGTACCACACTGTTCGGAGTAAGGTGGCTTTATAACATATTTTCACAACTGGGGTGACTAATGGCCCATCTTTCATTTTCCTTTTGTTGAGAACCACACTGACCATCAATAATTCTGCTTTTCTCATGAACTACTCATCTGTTGAGCGTTCTGATGGGACCACTGTGAGCTTACAGATGACGCTGCAGACCTGTCAGTCACTGAAGTGACTCTTCCTGGTGGAGAAATCTTTGCACGTGTGTCTAAATTTTGTTGCTGACAGAAATAGGAATTTATTTTCTAAAAATTTAAAGCAGCATTTACTTCCCAGAAAAGCTGCTGATTCGTAAAATTGATTTACAATCAGCCAATACAGTCTCTTATAGTTGGATGAGATTTTTGGGTGGATACTACAGGTTTTTAGGTAACATGTTGCATGCTTAGCCTTAACTAATGAAATTCTTCCTGGGTTTTCCCACAGGGGCTGTCACTCAGGAGCTCAGAACTGTACAGTATGTTGAATGCCCACTATGTCTGCAGTTGCTGGTGTGTGGCACCGAGCTGGCTTCTGTCCCCACTGTCAGCCCAGCGTGGACAGGTCCTGGCAGCACGTCTTAGTTAATTTACTCCCATGGCTAGGTCATTCCTTTATTAAAATAGATGGCAACCCCATCTCACCTCTGCTAATTAAAATTTCCACACTGTTACAAAAGAGAGTGGCTCCATTATTTGTCCAGCATATCAGGTCCCACTCCTCTCTCCCAGGACCTCTTACTGAAGGAAATGCCATAGCAGATAAAGTAGCCACCACTGGAACTTTCCCTGCCAGCATAACAGATGCCCAAGACCTCCATCATGCCACTCATATTAATTTACAAGGGCTCCATCTCAGATTTCCCCACATTCCCCTCAAGCAGCTTAAGCGTATTGTTAGAACCTGCTCTTCTTGTGCATCATTAATACAAACTCCAGCTATACAGAAATGGGTGTCAACCCTCGAGGACTAAAATCTAATGCCCTTTGGCAAATTGATGTAACTCATGTCCCCCAATTTGGCAGACAGAAATATGTATTTGTAACCATAGACACCTACTCTCACTTTCTCTGGGCCACCACCCAAACTGGTGAAAGTTCTAAAAAGCTGGTAAATCATATGCTTTCATCCTTTGCCATTATGGGCCTCCCTGCACAACTAAAGACAGACAATGGCCCAGCATTTACCAGCTCATCATTTAAAAATTTCTGTGAAGTGTGGAAAATCACCCATCACACTGGCATCCCTTACAACACACAGGGACAAGCCATTGTGGAAAGGTCACATAACACCTTAAAGGACCAATTAAAAAGACAGGCTCAAACAACATATTCTCCCAATATTCAATTAACATTAGCCTTGTTTACCCTTAATGTACTTAATGTATATAGAGGGACAGATGCTCCTCCCATCACCCGACACTGGGCTCAAACACACCCAGTACCACCCATCATGGTTAGATGGAGAGACCCCTTTGATGGACTCTGGAAAGGACCAGATCCATTGCTAACAACAGGGAGAGGATTTGCTTGTGTTTTCCCACAGGACCCACCAAAGCCTATCTGGATTCCAGTTAGAAATGTCAGACACCTCCCCACCCACGAAAAAGATGGCTCACATGACCCTGACAGAGACAAAGAAAAGAAAGAGGCAGAGAC